CCTCGCTCACTTGTCCCTCATCTTCTGGTGCTCGCTGGTTTGTTATTGTAGGGGTGCTCTTAGGGGTTGTGCTCCTGCTTTGTTATTGTAGGGTTGCTCCTAAGCAATTGGCTGTGGGGCACGGGGCACTGGCTGGAGGATTCTCTGCACCTTGAGGTCTTTAAACCACGATTTGAGGACTTCAGTAACAGACAGAGGTTAGGGGTTTGTTACAGGAGTGGGTGGGTGAGATTCTGTGGCCTGTGTTGTGCAGGAGGTCAGACTAGACAGTCATAATGGTCCCTTCTGACCGTAAAGTCTGTGAGTGTAGAATCTGAGCGCTGGGCAGCTGACATGGCTTGTGCTGAAGCATTAATTTTGGAGCGAAACACAAAAAATGCATCACAAGGACTAGAACAAAGATGTGTCAAGTCTGGGGCCTGTCGAGCTTGTCGGTGTCCCCTCAAGACAGTGACGCACAGCGCCAGGAAATACAAAGGCCGATCTCACTCAGAGCTTCTGGGGGGCTTTCCCTGCGTGGCTGGCATCCATCGCTGGGCCAGGAGGTGGCATCTAGCGTCTCGCTGTCAAAGAGCCTTTTCATTCCATGGACTCATTGCTCCCCACACGAAGCAGAGGATGGAGCATTCTCCTAACCAGAGCACAGGGGAGAGGGCTCCTTTTGGCCAGCTGAGGACTGCCTGGTTGACTACCCAGGGCCCCGAGGGCTACCCATAGGGTCAGACTCTCCCACCTTCACTCATGGTGAGGAGCAGCATGCTGCACCAGTGGTGCCGTTTATTTCAGTGGGGTTATTCCTGGAGCAAGACACTACTCGCCATGAGGGACAGGGCGGCTGTAGCCCATAGTCACCACAAAATGGCTCACCTTCGGTACGGCCCATGCAGGCTGCAGGACCCAACATGCAGTGCTTCACCTTGAGCCAAGCAACCTGCCGCTTGACTCAGGTTGGAGTGGTGCATGCTGGGAGCTGTAGTCTCCATGTGCTGCGCCTCTCTGTTTAACATTAGATGAGCCAGGGGTCTTGTTGCTAAGCATTGTGAGCTGCCCCTTATCTTACCATCTTCTCCGGTGAATGTTTCTGTTCCTGATGTTAACTCCGCGTTTGCTTTTAATCTCCCAAGTAGCGGAACTGCAGCGGTTTGCCTCTCGGAGGGAAGAGGCCACATGAGTCGTTGATCTTGCTCTTTCGTGAAGACCAGTGGCTGTAGTTACCGGTTCTCAGCACATGAGAGAATGTGCAGCATAATGTTCAAACCGTCTGGAGAAACCTGGAACAGGGAGAGGGGGGAAATCACACGCCGCAGAGCTTGACATAAACATATCGCTAGAAAGAGAAAGAGCGTCGCCAACAGCTTTCGAGCAGGGCTGCGGAGGGTGCATGTGAACTCCAAGTGCTCCCTGGAAACCAAACTTAAAGGGTCATTGACACCTCATGGGAAATGTACAACAACAGCTGGACTTTGTGTAACATCTTCTGCATTAATTGTGTCCCAGTGCCCTTTGCAGAGCTAAGAAATAACCCTTTGCATCTCTCTGACCCCTTCCACTGAGTCTTTCAAAGCCCTTTATGGACAATGAATTGAGGCCCCCAGCCCAACCTCCTCTGGAGGAAGTTCACTATCATTATCACCATTTGACACATGGGGAAACTGAGGCACAGAGCGGGGCTGTGACTTGACCAAGGTCACACAGCGCATGGGCAGCAGAACTGGAACTGGAAGCCGGGTCCCTTGACTCCCAGTCCTGTGCTTTAGTCATTCGATCGTGCCTCCTCTCCAGCTGCACAAGAAACATAAAGCTTATGACTGACGTTCACCCATGCAGTGGGCCCCACTTACGTCCCATCGGGGCTTAGTTGGTGCCTCATGTGATCACTGTAACGGCAGAGGCTGAGTGGCATTAAAAGGGTCAGGGGGACATGGATTCGGCTCCTTTCTGCATTTCTCTTCCTCCTCCTAGGATCAATAGCCCAGAAAGATGATCATTGTTTGTACGAATTCTGTGCTGTTTGTTCTCTCCGCCCATTCCTAAAGCCCTCTTCACCTGGCCACCTAGAGGGGAGGCTCCTGGGGGCAGAGACCATCTGTTTGTTCTGTTTGTACAGAGCCTAGCACAGTGGGGCCCATCATGAGGGTTCCTCAGAGCTACCACTATGCAAGTAATATTAATAGTCCCCTTCGCCCGCCGGACACTCTAATACATCAGGACAGGGGATAAGCAGCTGGAGCAGGTGAAATCCTGAGCAACAAAGATCCCATTTTCCTGCAAACACCCTTCATGGAAAGAAAGAAAGAAAGAAAGAAAGAAGGAGCAGTTTCCCAAGTCCCCCAGGATGTGTCAGTAGGTGTTTGAAAGCAGGGCTTGGGTGTCTTAGTTCAGGGCTATGTGCACTCTGCTCCCCTCGTGCAATCCCTTTCCAAATCAAATTTACACCTGTTCCTTCCAATGCTGCCTGTGGCCTGCCAAGGTGGATGACTGGACCAGGGCTGCAGGCATGAGGGAGGCACTTCCTTCTAGGATGCTGAGATGTTATTAGCAGGTCAGCAGTCAGGTAGGCCGTGCGCTACCACAGAGTTCTCACACTGTGACAAGACTACCAGGGGTGTTAAAAGCTGAGACGTGATGCTCTGAGGGAGAGATTGGGTGGCTTTTGCTGGCGGTAACCAGCACTGCTGGAACCCCTGGGCAGAGATTCACTGTGGTGTCCTTGGGATGATAAAGCAGTGTGTATGTGAACAAGAAGGCACCTGGATGCTGTGGGGATGGGCCCATTAAAATGCTATAGCTGGATTGGCCAGAATGCTGGGTTTCAGAGTAGCAGCCGTGATAGTCTGTATCCGCAAAAAGAACAGGAGTACTTGTGGCACCTTAGAGACTAACAAATTTATTTGAGCATAAGCTTTCGTGGGCTACAGCCCACTTCTTCGGATGCATGTAGTGGAAAATACAGTAGGAAGATATATAGATATACAGAGAACATGAAACAATGGGTGTTACCATACACACTATAAGGAGAGTGATCAGTTAAGGTGAGCTATTATCAGCAGGAGAGAAAAAAACAAAAAAACTTCAAAAACAGACTCCAACGAGAGATTGTTGAATGGGAATTAATCTGCAAATTGGACACCATTAAATTAGGCTTGAATAAAGACTGGGAGTGGATGGGCCATTACACAAAGTAAAACTATTTCCCCATGCTTATTTTCCTCCCCCACACACACACAGTTCCTCACATCTTCTCATCAATTGCTGGAAATGGGCCATTTTCATTACCACTACAAACAGTTCTTTTTCTCTTGTGCTGATAATAGCTCACCTTAACTGATCACTCTCCTTATAGTGTGTATGGTAACATCCATTGTTTCATGCGATGAAGTGGGCTGTAGCCCACGAAAGCTTATGCTCAAATAAATGGGTTAGTCTCTAAGGTGCCACAAGTACTCCTGTTCTTGTTCCTGGGTTAGTGTTTTTGTTGTGTGCTGTGTGGTTGCTGGTGAGTATTTGCTTCAGGTTGGGGGGCCTATCTGTTAGCGAGGACAGGTCTGTCTCCCAAGATCTGTGAGAGTGAGGGATCATCTTTCAAGATAGGTTGTAGATCTCTGATGATGCGCTGGAGAGGTTTTAGTTGGGGGCTGAAGGTGACAGCTAGTGGTGTTCTGTTATTTTCTTTGTTGGGCCTGTCCTGTAGGAGATGACTTCTGGGTACTCGTCTGGCTCTGTCAATCTCTTTTTTCACTTCAGCAGGTGGGTCGTATAGTTTTAAGAATGCTTGATAGAGATCTTGTAGGTGTTTGTCTCTGTCTGAGGGATTGGAGCAAATGCGGTTGTATCTTAGAGCGTGGGTGTAGACAATGGATGGTGTGGTGTCCTGGATGGAAGCTGGAGGCATGTAGGTAAGTAAAGCGGTCAGTAGATTTCCGGTATAGGGTGGTGGTCATGTGACCATCGCTTATTAGCACAGTAGTGTCCAGGAAATGGACCGCTTGTGTGGACTGATCTAGGCTGAGGTTGATGGTGGGATGGAAATTGTTGAAATCATGGTGGAATTCCTCAAGGGCTTCTTTTCCATGGGTCCAGATGATGAAGATGTCATCAATGTAGCGCAAGTAGAGTAGGGGCGTTAGGGGACGTGTGTCTGTCACTGCATAGATACCAGAGATTACCAAATACCAAGGACGGATGGATTGTAGAACCAGACTGCTGCACAAAGGACAGATGAGCGGGGAGCTGAGATGCAGAGGGCTCGGGAAGGGAGGGACTGTCACCCAAAGGAAGCTGTGAGTGTGCTGGCCGGGGAGCATCCTTCTGATGGGAAGAGAGGTCAGGAAGGACCGTGCTCTGTGCCGTTGCCCGCGGCTGGCTGCCTGGCTGGTGCGGTGCAGTCCGGAGGCGGGTGGTGGGGAATGCTGGCATGCCATGGGTGCTCATGCGCATTGGGCGTCGAATCCGCTCATGGGGGTGACCGCGGGGAGATGCTGAGTGCCTGCAGCAAGCCCCAGGGCTCCAACAGGCGAGGCAGGTTCTCCTGTTTCCTAGCTCACTTAGGGAAGAGTTCACGTGGGCCGTGACCCCCGACGACACTGCCCTCCCAGGAGCTGTGGCAGGAGAGAGAGACTCCCTGCAGATCTCCCAGCCTAAGCAGCCACTGTGGGCGGGAGCGCCCGGCCTAACCGTACCCGTGGGAGGAGACCGGCCGACAACACTGGGGGCGGGCGGCCTCTCCCGTCTCTTCTGGCGTCAGAGAGCAGGGAACCGCGCCCCTGCTGCCTCCTCTCCAGTCGCAATCCTGAGGAACAGACGTTATAGTTCCATAGGGAGCTGGGGGGACCCTGACTCCCAGTCTGCTCAGGCCACTAGACCACACTACCTCCCACAGTGAGTGGGCAGGAGAAACACCAACCACCTGGTTCGAGATGGCCCCGCAGCCAGCGGGGACCCATCTCCCACCCCCCCAGATTGCTCACAGAGAATCCAGCCTTAGAGCTTTGCAGACTGACCTGTATGGCCCCGTCTGGCCTCCAGGTACGGATCCAGCAGAACACAGGAGGTGGGAGCCCATTGACGTGAGTTCTCCCCGCTCCTGGCCTCCTCTGCTGCTTCTGTAGCCTCCCAGGGCGCGGCTGTACAGCGAACGGCAGCCGGACGACAGGTGCAGGCTCCCGGGGCTCCCAGGCCGCGGCTGTACAACGAGCCACAGCTGACGACAGGCGCAGGCTCCCAGGGCTCCCAGGGCACGGCTGTACAGCAAGTGGCAACTGACGACACGCGCAGGCTCCCGGGGCTCCCCAGGGCACGGCTGTACAGCAAACGGCAGACACACAACAGGTGCAGGCTCCTGGGGCTCCTAGGGCACGGCTGTACAGCGAGCGGCAGCTGACGACAGGCGAAGTCTCACAGGGCTCCCAGGGCATGGCTGTACAGTGAGTGGCAGCCACACAACAGGCGCAGGTTCCCGGGGCTCACAGGCCACAGCTGTATAGTGAGCAGCAGCCATACAAGAGGCGAAGGCTCGTGGGGCTCACAGGGCGCGGCTGTACAGCGAGTGGCAGCCGGACGACAGGCGCAGGTTCCCATGGCTCACAGGGCGCGACTGTACAGCGAGTGGCAGCCGGACGACAGGCTCAGGTTCCCATGGCTCACAGGGCGCGACTGTACAGCGAGTGGCAGCCGGACGACAGGCTCAGGTTCCCATGGCTCACAGGGCGCGGCTGTACAGCGAGTGGCAGCCGGACGACAGGCTCAGGTTCCCATGGCTCACAGGGCGCGGCTGTACAGCGAGTGGCAGACGGACGACAGGCTCAGGTTTCCATGGCTCCCAGGGCGCGGCTGTACAGCGAGTGGCAGCCGGACGACAGGCGCAGTGAACTGCTGGGGAACAGGAAATGCCCCCTGGGGCCCGGCCTGCGGTTTCCTTCCAGGGATGGCAATGCCGCTGCACTGACAGAGAAACTGCAACTGGCCCCCCCGCTTAGTCCCCTCCTAACTGGTCATAGGGCCACAGAGGCCACCATGGTGAAACGGGAGACAGAGGGAACCTAGATCCCCAAAGCAGACCTTCGCCCAGGGAGGCTTGGCCGGAAGGATGGGCCGGTGGCTAAAACCTGCGCCTGGAAGTCTGGAGAGCCGGCCTCTATTCCCGACTCTGCTGCTGCCCCGGGCATGTCACTGCGCAGCTCTGTGCCTGGGGGTCTCCGAGACGTGGGAATAATAGATCCTCTCTCTCAAGCTGTGTGTGTGAGGCTTAATTGTTTGTTTGTGAAGCACTCAGAGACCCTCCGTGCAACTGGTCAGACAGAGAGTCATCGTCAGAACCAGGAGGAGGCCCCTCACTCCCAGTCCTGTGCTCCGACCGCTCCCCCTTCACCGAAAGCGCAGAAATCGTTTTTCAAAGAGACATTATTAAGGGCACAAGAGGAAACTATCCCACTGCGTAGGAAAGACAGGAAGTCTGGCAAGAGACCACCCTGGCTTAGCCAGCACATCTTCAGTGATCTAAAAATAAAGAAAAAGTCCTAGTTTTGACTATACTTTTGTATCGTTGTATGAAAAGGTTTCAGTGATGCGGCCCTCGCGGTGATTTGAGTGTGAGACCCCTGGTCTAAACCCAGAGCAGGGAGGAGCTCGGGGAGTTGGAGACTCCATAAATCTCTGAGTCGGCTTAGTGTTTATAGGCCAAAGTGATCACACTGGGGTGATTGAAGTGAGGCCTCTCCCTCTGTGCCTAGGTAGCTGGTTAGAAGTGGCCTAGTAGTCAGAGGTTTGCATTGAACTTCAGTGGAAGTTCTGGGTGCTCAAAACGGTTGAAAATCAGGCACAGGTGCAGGGCCGTCCCTAGCAATTCTGGGGCCCTACGCAGCCCCCCCACGGCGGGGGGGCAGGCCTCTGGAGGAGGGAGCGGGGGGGCTGGCCTCAGGCTCCGCAGGGGGGTGGGGTTGGCTTGGGGGGCAGGGTGAACCACCCCTCAGCACTCACCGGCGGCGCAGCTGGGGCTGGTCACTGCACTTCCCGCCGCCAGCGAGTGCAGGCCCAGCCCTGCTGCAGTCCTCAGGAGAGTGTGGGTGGGGCTGGGGCGGAGCAGGGGCTGGAGGAGCACGCAGCTGCGCAGGGCTCCAGGAAATGTGGTGCCCCAAATTTCCTGGTGCCCTCCGCAGCTGTGTACTTTGCATGTGGGTAAGGACGGCCCTGACTAGGTGTCTAAAGTCAGGTACCCCAGATTAGAGTCTAAGTCTGAAAGTGTGGGCCTTAACCGCTCTGTGCCTCGGTTTCCCCAGCTCTGGATTAATGATCCTTCCCCTCCTCTGTAAAGCGCTGTGGGATGTATGGAGAGAGTGCAATAGCAGCGCCGTGGGCTTTTATTGCTGATGTTACTGTACTTGTTTTTAGGAGAACACAGAGCCACACCTCTGGTTAGTGCGGCACAAGGCTTTCCATTCCCAGGGCCGTGCGCATCGGACTGAAGACTTTCCCTGTCTCACGGCAAGAGGCCTTGGGCGCTATCCGGCAGCAATTTTTATTTATTTATTATTTATTTATTTATGTAGGTCAAATGTGAGCCAAAATGGTTCTGCGGTTTTCAAGACTAAGGAGGGTGGGAGAAAACACGCTTGCTCCAAAGATGTGACTGGTTTGAACACACGGGTGGGAAATGGCAGGACCGTGGAATTTGGAATCTCTCGGGCCGGGCCGGGCGTTGGGGCAGAGTGTGAATTGGTTGTGACTTGCTAAAGTTCTTCGCCTTTTAAAAACCTTCCGTGTGCCTGGGCCGTGGGCTTTGCAACGTGATCTCTTAGCAGTTGATCAAGGGTCTGCTTGGGTGCAGTTTCGGAGCGTTTGTGAGCTGCGCTGTGTTCCTTTGTGATTGGTGTATGTGCGGAGGGAAGAAGACAAATGGTCATTGACAGTGAATAGTGACCTCTTGGTGCTTACTGTCCGAGGCGAGTCCTGTGTGAGTAACGGCTGGGCATGTATCTCTGGGCCTTCATGTTTGTCTTGGTTCCATCTCTTGCAGGGCCTGAAGAAGCCGAATATTGAGGAGATCCGGCATGCAAAGAACGCAGTGTTCAGCCCCTCCATGTTCGGGAGCTCCCTGCAGGAGATCATGAACATGCAGAAGGAGAGGTACCCGGATCGGCAGCTCCCCTGGGTACAAACCAGACTGTCTGAGGAAGTGCTGGCGCTGAATGGAGACCAGACCGAGGGCATCTTCAGGTAATGCTGCCTTGTGACTTCAGCTCTCAGGGAGTTGCACACCAGGCATTCGCTTCCAATGGAGAATTTGCAACTGGCTGCTTCTTTAATAGTCCAGGAGGCCCCAGGGGGGATTTAGAAGGGAGTGTTGCATGCTGGGACATGTAGTTTTTCTTAGCAGCACCTCTGCTAAAGATGAGGATGGCCACAGATTGCACTGTGGAGCACTGTGGCTTGTGCTGTGGCCACTTCTGCCTCGCAGTGTGGCTTTGAGGAGCAGGCAGTTAGAGCATTCTCTGAGGGGCGACGTAACACTTCCAAAGCCAGATGACAGCATTGGGTCTGGATGTCCCTGAGCAGACTAGAGAAGCAATAACCGAGGCAGGACTGTTGCTAGCTGCTCATCTCCCCTCCCAGCCTGGCCCAGGCCGCAGCCTCAGAGAAGAAACCTTTGCAATCAATGGCATGGTCTGAGCCCCGGGTACTTTCTCTCTCTCCCTTGTTTCCTTTTTTATATTGCCCATCACCACAGTATCTAGGCTCTAGCGCTTCCATCCAGGAATTCGGTCGTTCACCAGTTGTCAGTGTTTTGAACAAGATGTAGCTGTGATATCTGTAACACATCCTGTGTGCAAGGCCACTGTTCCTGCTCTCCCACTGTCTGCCTAATGACAGGCCTTAGCAGTGGGGCCCTCTCTGGTCAGTGACAAAGCGTGATCATGGACAGCACGTTTCCAGAGGGCCTCTCCTGTGGGGCCATGCAGTGGAAAGGGCACCTGGGCATAGGAGGTACAGAAGAGCCCCTCTGCTTTCACAGGCCACCCCAGCTCCTCCCCTCTGGGGGGGTTCCGCAGTGTGGGGGTGCTGCTGAGGGGAGAACCGTGTGGTCCCTGGTGGTCTGGGCTAGCTGTAAGCCCCAGTGTATCCCTGTGGACAGAGAGGGGCCTGGACTGGGACACCCCCCAAGTGTGGGTTTCCCTTGGCGTGACCTGAGCCTGAGCCACCAAGTGGCGGCAGTGACCAAAGGTGCTGAGAAACCAGGCAGTGAGGCAGTAACATTGTCAGTGTCTCCTACGTGCTGCTGTGCGCCGGATCCTCTGCTGCAGCCTTTGGCTGGGGGAGGGGAGTGAATTTCACCAGGACTATCAGCCCTGCCGTGTGTTAGTCACGGCTCTGTCCTGGCCGCTGGACTCTGAGACATCGTTCACGTCCCATTTGAGGCCAAGAGCATCCCCCCAGGGGTTCTCCTGTTTGTAGACTGAAGGGCTCTTCCTAGCCACACTCCTCAGCTGGCCAGAGGGGTCGCTGCTGAGCCACATGAAGCCCTTCCCCTCCCCACGGGCTCAGCGTGATGTCCGCGGCTGCAGGGGAACGTACCTGTCCATTACAATGTGTCGTGTCTGTCTCCCCGACGCCACACCTGGCAACCGCCTCTGTTAAGCAAGGTCTCAGCTGTCCCAAGCTGATAGAGGGCTTCTTACATAGCCTCCCACACAGGCTCAGCTCCGCTCCCCCGGTGCTCAGAGAGAGGAGTCAAATTGTGCGGGGGGTACTGTGACGGGACCCCCATGGTACAACCTGGAACTGTGGAACCGCCGTGCCCCCTTAACTCTGCAGCCTGGGCTGTCTCGCCCAATGCTTTGCTAGTGACAAGCAGCAAACCCCTCCAGGCGCTGTCATCCCTCAGCCACCAGCATGCAGAGACACACCCAGCTACATTGCATGAATGCTCTCCAAGCCACTCATGAACCATCCACAGGGAAACACCAGCGAATCCCCCCAGCCTCCGGCCTTGCACCCCAGAAATGTACCATCTTACACTGCACTAGATCTTCTCTTGAACAATGCAAGCTCATTAATTAGTTCGCCACTTCGTCAAGGGGACATGCACCAGCCTTTGTAATCTGAGCAGATGCCCCAAGCACTTTAGACAAACTCACTGGTAAAGATAAAACGTTAAAATAAGTTTACTACCTCCAGAAAGATAGCTTTATACGTGATTACAAGTGGTAGGCATAAAGGCCAGAGATAGTTACCTAAGAAATAAAAGTAAAATCAGTCTAAATCCTAAACTCTACTAGATTAAGCAAGATTTGGATCAAACGGCTTTTCTCACCCCGCTGGATGTCGCAGGCAGGTTATAGTTCTCAGTACACAGGCTGAATTTCCTTCTCAGCCTGGAACCAATCTCCTCAATTCAAAGTCTTGGTCTCCCCGAGTCCCCACTATTCTTGTTGCCTTAGGTGAGGGAGGAGAGAGGTGGTCTCGTGATGCCATTGTCCCTATTTTATACTCTCAATTCATGGCCCAGGGGAGATACTGGCCCAGGCATGTCCTGGGGGGCCTTGCTGAGTCCTCGCTGTGTGGTGCTTGTGCAACTGTCTCCTACAGAATTGTAAATCTCTTGTTTACAGTGCCCCTGCTGGTCATGGACGGTCGCTTAATGCTCCTTTGGGTGTGGGTCACCTCTTTTGTTGCCACTGGAGAGTTAGGTCTGGGCATCTCCCAAACTCACAGCCTGTTTCAATAACAACCATGCACCAAACTCTCATCACTTCATACACACGAACGATATACTTATTTTGACAGAACAACGAGTTTCAGCAGATCATGATCTTTCATATGGTATCTTACATGGCATGCTTTGTATGAAATATCACAACCATATTGACATAGTGCTACTTTGAGGTCCAGTGCATCATAGGTACATTGCATAGATTCATAGATTCTAGGACTGGAAGGGACCTCGAGAGGTCATTGAGTCCAGTCCCCTGCCCGCATGGCAGGACCAAATACTGTCTAGATCATCCCTGATAGATAATTATCTAACCTACTCTTAAATATCTCCAGAGACGGAGATTCCACAACCTCCCTAGGCAATTTATTCCAGTGTTTAACCACCCTGACAGTTAGGAACTTTTTCCTAATGTCCAACCTAAACCTCCCTTGCTGTAGTTTAAGCCCATTGCTTCTCGTTCCATTCTTAGAGGCTAAGATGAACAAGTTTTCTCCCTCCTCCTTATGACACCCTTTTAGATACCTGAAAACTGCTATCATGTCCCCTCTCAGTCTTCTCTTTTCCAAACTAAACAAACCCAATTCTTTCAGCCTTCCTTCATAGGTCACGTTCTCTAGACCTTTAATCATTCTTGTTGCTTTTCTCTGGACCCTTTCCAATTTCTCCACATCTTTCTTGAAATGCGGTGCCCAGAACTGGACACAATACTCCAGCTGAGGCCTAACCAGAGCAGAGTAGAGTGGAAGAATGACTTCTCATGTCTTGTTCACAACACACCTGTTAATGCATCCCAGAATCATGTTTGCTTTTTTTGGAACAGCATCACACTGTTGACTCACATTTAGCTTGTGGTCCACTATAACCCCTAGATCCCTTTCTGCTGTACTCCTTCCTAGACAGTCTCTTCCCATTCTGTATGTGTGATGCAGTGACCATCTACTCAAGCTCCTCCCACAATCCCAAACCCCACCCACATGCCCAAGATCCTCCGATAGCCCCCAAAGAGCTGGATGGCTGTGCTCAAGTGACCAGCAGGGAAATAATTAATGCTGCCAGTTAGTGGCATGTGTTCCCAAGCTGGAGGAGCAGGAGTCCTAGAGCAAATCTGTGCAGACATCAGTGAGCTATACAAGGTGCTTTCCCAGCTCCTGCAACCACAATATCCACGTGCAATTGCACACGTAGATAGTAGTGAGGCATCTAAATAGCTATGTGTGTGCAGTCACAACATGTATGTGCCCAGGCACCATAATAATGCACGTGAGATGCTCGCCTTTGTGCACACTGTTCCACGTGGGCAGCCTCTGGTCTCTGTGTTTGAAAGTGCACTGTTGTCATCACTAAGTTTCAGAGTTAACATACCATTAATCTGATGAAGGTAGTATTCCCCTCTCTCAGCTATTGTTTCAATCTCTCTACAGACTCAGGCAGGCAGTATGTTTAACATGCTCATCATTGAGGTATCTAAGTGTTTCTCCAGACTCTGCCTATAACATCAGCCAAAGTAACTGGGTAAATGGCCTTCAGCATCCAGTTGTAACCCCCCGTGGACCAAGTCTGAAATCTGTGGGGGTTTCTTTTCTGCACAGAGTGCCTGGAGATATCGATGAGGTCAACGCCCTCAAACTGCAGGTCGATCAGTGGAAAATCCCCACCGGCTTGGAAGACCCTCATGTTCCTGGTAAGGGTTCCTGACCCCCTTCCCTTCACACAGGGAATCCTGGTGCAAGGGGGAGTGAGAAGTGAGTCCTGGCTCTGAGCGTTGTGGGGGTGAAGCCACCCAATAAGTAGGGTGGGCCCCAGGCAAGGGAGAGAGTCAGAGTAGAGTCCTAGAGCAGGCCTTGGAAATGCGGGGTGGGAGCCCACTTCAAGCACTGGGCATAAGCGGGGGAGGGAGATGGGGAGAGAAGGACGGGGCTAAGCAAGGGCCCACCAGGGTGCAGAGCCTGGAGGCTGACGGCTGGGAGCCAGAGTCTGGTGTGGCTGAGGGGATTGGAGGAGGAGGGCGACCTGGTCCGAGCAGCAGGGGAAGAGCTGAGCATGCAGGAAACCTACCGGGGGGAGCCCAGCACATGTGGCCCAGCCAGGTGATCACCACCTCCAAGGCATAAACACAGGAGAGGAGAGCCCTCCCCAACAGTGTGATCTGGCTGGCTGTGGGACGCGACGGGAGTCCCATTGGCTGGGGCTGGAGCTGGGCCACAGGGGCCCTGACCGCGGGTGGGGTACACCACTGAATACAGCACGCCCATCCCTCCCTTCTTGGAGCCTGGGGCCACGCAGATGCCAGAGCATGCACCAGCTCTTCTCTCGCGTGTCAGGATTAACGTTGTAGAACACGTGTCCATGCTGCACTGAGGCAGCCGCACAGCCAAGGTCAGGCTCCCCGACAGCTGCTGGCTTGTTAATCACAGCTGAGCGGCCGAGTGTGTCAGTATTTAAAGCCTTCCCATTGATTCCAGCTGCATAACCCACCAGCCCAGTCTGCGGAGCATCGGCTCTCTGCCTAATCCCTCTCCAGGACACAGAGCAGCACGGAGCTCACGGTGGGAGCATCTGCAAGGGGCAACTAGTAACGTGGGATCAGTCCTAACCTCTGACACGGCAGGCAGGGGGCCAGCGGAACCGGCAAGTGCTGGGTGGACGCTGACCCAGCCTGTGTAGGAGGAGAATTAATTTCCCGCATACCCAATAAGTAGCAAAGCATCTCAGGGAAGGTGTCTGATCAGTGTTCATAGTCAGTAAGGCCAAGAAGAGGTTCAGTTGAATTAACAATAGGATGAAGAACAATAAAGAAGAAGGACAATGGCCATTCTCTAAACCTGTGGTAACAACCTCATCGTCCCATCTCCAACAGGACACGGCAGAGATAGCAAAGATCCAGGCAAGGGTGGCTGGTAATAGAGGTGCGGGATCCCATGAGAGGATCTCATTTAAAAAAACATTGAGAGACACACAGTCGGCTCATTCACTCAGTGACGTTGTGCATCACAGATGAGATCTGGGGCATGTTAGTTTGGAAAGCGGAGAGTGAGAGGAGGGCTATGAAATCACAGAGCAGAGAGAAGATGGATCAGAGTCTCTTACATACCCCATCTTGTGGCACTAGAGCAAGGGAGCGCTCAGTGAGATGGCCACACGTTTAGAAGGGATAAAGGAAGCACGTGGGCAGCCTGTGGAACTCACTGCTGCAGGATATGAAGACAGATAGCTTAGGGACAGATTCTGTCTCGCTGACTCACACGGAGTAGTACCGCACAGGGCTGCTCATGGAATAAAGTGCTATTCAGAATGAGTAACGGGGGCAGAATCCAGCCCCTCAGTGTTTCAAAGAGCTAGCTGTTGGTATGAACACGAGAGGCAGCTTCACTTCCCACTAACGAGGATGGCCAAGGTAAGGGTTATCAAGCTGTGTGTTGCAGGTATAGGGTTGTCAACTGTCTAATCACACAAACCCAAACACCCTTGCCCCGCCCCTTCCCGAAGGCCACACCCCTGCCTCGCCCCTTCTCTGAGGCCCTGCCCCCCACTCACTCCAGCCCCCCTCCTTCCGTTGCTCACTCTCCCCCACCTTCACTCACTTTCACTGGGCTGGAACGGGGGGGAGGGGTTGAGGTGCGGGATGGGGTGCAGGCTCTGGGCTGGGGAGTGGAACCAAAGGGGTTCAGTGTGTAGGAGGGGGACTCCAGGCTGAGCGTGGGGCAGGGGGTTTGGGTGCGGGAGGGGGCTCAGGGCTGGGGCAGGGGGGTTGGGGTGCAGGAGGGGGTGCGGGGTGCAGGCTCCGCCCGGGCGGCACTTACCCATAAACAGCAGCATGTCTGGCAGCAGCTCCTAGGCTCATGAGCGGCCAGACAGCTCTGCACGCTGTCCCTGCCTGCAAGCACCACCCCCGCAGCTCCCATTGGCTGTGGTTCCCCATTCCAGGCCAATGGGAGCTGTAGAGTCGGCGATCGGGGCGGGGGAAGTGCGCAGAGACCCCCCCCCGGCCATGCCTCCTCCTAGGAGCCGCTGCTGGACATGTCGCTGCTTCCTGGAGCGGCACAGAGCCAAGGCAGGTAGGGGGCTTGCTTTAGCCCCGCTGCGCCACCGGACTTTTAGCAGCCTAAAATCTCCCGGGTGGGCTTCAGTAGCCTCTGGGAGACCGAGACCGATTCTGGGAGACTCCCGGCCAAACTGGGAGGGTTGGCAACCCTAGGTACGAACTGAGTTCACACACTATGGAAAAGCTGGATACAGTGTGCTGGCAAAGGGAGGCCAGCTAGCCCTGCTGGACATCAGGGGAACTGGGTTCAAGTCCTGGTTTGGCCACACGCTCCTTTTGTGACCTTGGGAAGCTGCTGCATCTGTCTGGCTCAGCTTCTTGCCCAGGAACCTCCCGGCCAGGAGTGAGCGAGCAGTGTCTGTGCATGGGGAGAAATGGTAGGAGCCCCCTCACTTGAGCCACTTCAAAGCAGACCAGCCCAAGCCCCGTAAGGAATGTCCCACGCTCACCCCTTCAGGGATGGACTAGATGGGACTGAACATCTTAGAGAGGACTTGGATTCTGTGGTGCTCTTAGTGATGCATAAGCCAGACCAAACCGCTCCATTTAACACACCGGGGGTCATCAGCAGCCATCCTAGTATAAGCCTATGTCCCCTGCTAGCCAGGGTGTCCAACCTCTACAACCCTCGAGCACATGTGGCTCCATCTCGTTGTGTTCAGTAGGAGGTAATTCAACCCTCCAGGACAGGAGCCCTGATTTCTGCTTTATTACCTTTGGTAATCTCCTGCCATACCAGAGAGCAGCCGGCTGTAGCGTTTCTGTTCCTCTCCCTGCAGGGGCTCTCTGAGGGATGCAGAAGAGCCCGTTGGCCTGTGCAGGTGGGCTGGTTCGACATGGGTCCTCAGGATCCCATTAGCTCCCTTGAGATGGGTTGGCAGGGCTGAAAGATTGTAGAACTGTTGGTGTTTTAGTTAGAGCCCTCTGCAGGGAATCCAGCCATGGCAAGGCCTGGAAAGCATTTCCCAGGCTGAGAGCGCGCGTGCAGGGCAAAGAGAGCGTGTGTGACCGAGAGAGGCAGAAGGCGAGAGGGAGAACATGCTGTGGGGGCAGGGACCTGCAGGGCGATCAGCCTTTGATCCTGCAGACAGGGCCGGTGCTACCATTTAGGCAAACTAGGCGGTTGCCTAGGGCGCCAAGATTTGGGGGTGTCAAAAAACAGTGCCCCCAGTTTTTTTTTACAGCGTTCCTGGGCTGCCGGCGGCGCGCCGACACGTGCGGCTCAGACTCCCTCTCCCAGCACAGCGGCCGCTCCACTTCTCCCCCCTCCCAGGCTTGCGGTGCCAATCAGCTGTTTGGCGCCGCAAGCCTGGGAGGAGAGGAGAATTAGAGCGGGGGCGGCATGATCGGGGAGGAGGTGGAACAGAGGTGAGCTGGGGTGGGGAGCTGCCTTACGGCTCCCCGGGCCGGGGCGGGGGGGAGCTGCCGCGGGGGGGGGTGTGCCTCAGGGCGGGGGGGGGGAGCTGCCGCAGGGCTGGGGGGAGAGGGACACAAGGTGGAAGTTTCGCCTAGAGCGCGAAACTTCCTTGCACCGGCCCTGC